AGAATCCACCCTGGAGCGTGAGATGCGCATCAGGTCAGAGGCAACACCGCCCATCATCAGTGACGGCGATTTCAGTAAGTGTGCCATATGCATGGACCTGATCATGAATCACGACAAGATCTGGCGCCTCCAGTGCGGCCACATATTCCACGCACAATGCAGGGATTGTGTGGTACACGCCCATGTGGATAGGCAGTTGGCTGGAAACATGGAAGGTTCCGCGAGCGAGGCCCCCTGTGCTATATGCAGGGGTGTTGGCCTCATTACTGCCGGGTTCCACTACGCCCTTGCTGGAGATCAAGAATCACTCAATCGGCATGAAGACATTCTCCAAAGGGCGAACGAGCTCAGGGATCTCCGTGAGGAGTTCAACCGCGTTGCAGCCATGATGGCCATCACCGCGGCTATATCGACGACGACTCCAGCGGGGCTACCTGCATCACTGGTCAACGCAGGGCTAGTAACGGAGGCAGCTACACTTGCAGGGGCACCTGCTACTGACGCACAACCTATTCCACTGGTAGCAGAGACCGACAGCTTCGCAGGGGCACCTGCTCGATCTGCTCCACCTTCGGTACCAGTGAATGACACGTGGTTGAGGCGCATGGAAAGGGCTACTGACAGGAGTGGTCAATGGCTTCAGTCTGCGCACTCATCTATGCCATGTGGGCGAGATCCTCGTTCGCGCAGTCAGCGCAGAACTGGGGGCCCCGTAAGCATGCGCAGCGGCAGCAGTGGGATATCTGAACGCGACATGCTGCACACGGTACTTATGATAAATACAGATGGCCGGGTGAGCATGCGCGCGGAGGAGGATGCGTGCCTAAATTTTCCCACTGCCTCCACGTCGCACCCATATATGTATGGCGAATACCCTGCAGCTTGGATCTTTGAAAAGAATCCTATTGCAGAAGAGGCTCGTAGGCATATGCGTTGTGCTTGCACATTAATGATCTCTTGCTGCGTTCAGTGCCGTATGTCGCTACTTATGCTCAAGTTTTTTCCAGGAGAGGATTTCCCGGATGGGGGCTCAATCCGCCCTCATCGAGACTTTCCAGTCCGCAGGGATCCGCGCTCTCGAGCTGCTGGCGCTGCGCCAGTCCCTTCTCTCGGCGGTGCCCCAGTGCCCCGCTGTCTCGCTGGCGTGCCCGCCCGCGAACGTCGCGTGCCCCGTCCAGGTCTGCCCAGCGCTGGCCTGCCCCACGCCGGCGTGCCCCGTGCCGCTGGTGAACCTCTCCTGCCCGCCTGCAGGAGTGGCGCTCGGGCCTGACGGGCTTGACGTGCCCTCGGCCTGCTGGGGCTACGTGGCGGGAGTCTCCGCGGGGCTCGGGCTGGGCGGTGCCGTCTGGCGGCGGGGCGGCCGCGCCGACGCCGAGTCGGCGGGAGTGGGAGATGAGCGCGGGAGCAGCTGCAGCTGATCAGGAGACGCAATGGCGAGAGTAGGTGACTACGTGCTCTTCCAGTACGACTTGCCTGGACCGCCGGTGTATCATGAGAGACTCGTGACGGGGGTCTCGATAGGGGATCCAGGTCTCGTCAGCACGTACTCGCCAGATGGAGACCATTATGCAGAATATACGACGTCGGACGACCTCAGAGATGTGCGGTGGGCGGGGGCTCAGGGCGCGACCCCGCCCAGTGTCAACCCAGCCCACGTCTACCGCTTCCGCCAGGTGCCGACGGCGGCGGAGGTCCAGCAGCTGATCCGCGAGGGCTCGCTCCTCGTCGGGGGCGTGGCGCCGCCTGCCGCCGCTGCCCCCGCCGCCGCAGAGGCGCCCGCGGCGGGTCCTCCCGCGGCGGCCGCACCCCAGGGGGCCATCGTGCCTCGCGGCGCTGGCGTGGTGGGAGGAGTCCCGCGCGCTGGAGCCGCGGCCGCTCCCGCCGTGGCTGGCACAGTGTGGCTGGCGATCGAGGACTACCAGGGGGTGCGGCGCGGCGAGCAGATGCCTGACCCACTCCCGCAGGGCGCCGTCGTTCACGGGGATCTGGCGCTGGTGCCTCATGCAGGGCGTTTCGTCGGGGCGCGCCAGGTGGCCATGGCCGACGTGGACGCCTTCGTCGTGGACGACCTGCGCGTGCTGCCCGTGCGGTTCAACCAGCAGGGTGCGCGCCGCCGCCCCTACAGCGAGGCCGTGGACATGCAGATCGTCGACGAGCCCGAGGGCGACATCATGCTGCAGGGGCCGCGCGCTACGGATTGGGTGCTGCGGTCGTATCGAGATGCCGGGCTCACGCCAGTCACTCATCATTCGAACTGGCTGAGGTCGGCGCGCATCCCTGATGGAGATCGCTCGGTTCACGAACACGAGGTTCTGTGCCACGTGCTGGAGGCGATCGTGACCGTGGATCAGCTCAATGCCCCAGCGCTCCAGAGCGCTGAGCTCGTCGTGCGCAGGATTCAGGTCATAGAGGACGCTCACTCGGCCTCGCCCTCGAACCCGGACTACTCCGCGGCCGACGAGTTCATGGGCTGGGCCACTCATCGACAGGGCGCCGCAGTCGCGCCCGACCTGCAGCGCCACGTGGCCGCGGGCATGCGCGACCGGGCCGCGATCCTCAAGGAGGCTCGCAAGGCGAAGGAGGAGCAGAAGCTGCGCCGCGGCAAGGGGGGCGGCAGGACCGACGCCAGCGGCACTGGCGGGCAGGGAGCATGACGGCTCCCAGTCGCGGGGGCTGGCCGGCCCGCGACGGACACAAGGCTTGTGGCGCCTCGGCGGCACGCACCTTCCGTCCTCGCGCTGTTCCTGGCGCTGAGGGTCGTGGGGTACCGACCGACTGCGGCCGTGGGGGCCCTGCGGCGCGCACCTCGCGTCCTCCAGCCAGGGCAGCCTTCGGGGATCGGGAGGTACCGACCGTCCGAGGATCGTGTGACATGGGACGCCCTCCTGGGCTGAGAGCAGCTGAAGATCGCCAGCGTGATCTCTTCCCGCTGCCCTCCATTCAGCCGACTCCGCCTACTTCTGCGCCAGCGTCTACGTCGACGAGGCGAAGGCTGGCTCACAGGCGGCAGACGGAGCAGTGTGCCAATGATGCCATTGCGGGCCTCAACGCTCTCCATCCTCCTTGCGAGCAGCGTGGGCCCATCACGGCGGCTCAGCGACTCGCCACCGCCACCATTTTGAACGAGGTCAGGATGGCCCCGAAGTCTGACACTCACTTTTCTCGCCGTGGAGCCGCGAAGGAGCTCCTGGCCTCCAGCCTGTCCTACACCGCGGACGAGGCACCGAGTCCCGTGGTAAGGTACGTCAGATCCCGAGTCGACATCCCAGAAGTGGGTGCGGTCATACCTCCTGTCGAGTCGGTGCTCGACGGGATCGGGAGGAGCTACGTGCTGGACTACGAGCAAGCGATGATGAAGACTCCTGACGAGTGGTCCCGCGTCTTGGATAGCGAGCCGCCCGTCACTCCCTACATGGACGAAGTTTTGAAGCGTGACCCGGTGGCATACAACACCTTCATCGGCGACCTGGTGAAGGCTCACATGCTGGGGTTCACGTGCCGCCCGAAGGACCTGGTCACACCTTTCTTCGTGGCCAAGAAGAGTGGAGCACAGCGTCTCGTCTGGGACGCTAGAGTGCCAAACCGACGTTTTCGCGACCCGCCGCCGCTGGCCATGGGGACATCGGCTGCGCACGGTCGCCTCCAGCTACCTGATGATCGTGAGGAGGACGGCAGCTTCAGCACCAAGCTCTTCTGTGCCCAGGCTGATGTCCGCAACTACTTCTACGCTCTCGGCCTGAGGGAGGAGCTGGGACTGTTCTTCTCGCTGCCGCCGGTGTCGCAGGCTTCGTTGTCGCAATGGGGGGTTGAGGCAGTGGACACTCCCGAGGGTCCCTCAGGGGGCTGGGTCTGGCCGTTCCTGCGGGTCGTGCCGATGGGCTGGTCTTGGGCTTTCTGGCTTGGGCAGCGTGCGAATGCGCACGTCTGCTGCTCTGCCTCGGGGCTCGGGTTCCCGCGGGTGCTGACCGATCACGGTCCGGTGCCCCCGCTCGACGGGGGGTCCCTTGCCTCCTACCCTATTGCGATAACATCGACGTGATCGGCACCGACCCTGTCAGATGCAATGTCCTGATGCACCAGATCTGCGACGCCTGGAGGAAGCATGGCGTGCAGATCCACGAGGTGGTGGAGGCCACCGACGTCTTCACCAGCCTCGGCCGCCTGATCGACGGCGCGTCTGGGCGAGTTTTCTCACGGCCCGAGCGCTCCGAGCGCCTCCGCCAGGCCTCACTGTGGCTAGAGCAGCGCCCTAGAGTCACGGGGAGGGAGGTGGAGAGGTATGTGGGTCATCTCATTGATCATTTGATGCTGAAGAGGGAGCTGCTCTCGATCCTCAGGAGTTTGTATGATTTCGTCAGAGATTGCTAGCACGTGCGTGCCCGTCTCTGGCCCTCAGCTGCCCGCGAAAACGAGCAGTGCCGTCGCTTGCTGCCGCTGATGTCTGCTAACCTTCGGCTTCAGTGGTCGCCGACGGTCTTCGCCTACGACGCTTGCCTGACGGGTATGGCGACGTGCCAGACAACACTGTCATCGGATCTTGTAAAGCGCATCGGGTCAGTCAGTGAGAGATGGAGATATCGCATGCCTTCGGCTATCTCGGCACGCCGCTCAGCTCTGGGAGGCCGTTCTGGGTGCTACGAGGCCTCGGAGGGGCCGTTCGACGTGTTCAGCGACATCGAGACCGTCAAGGCCCCCGGGAGCACCAGCATGGACCTTGTCAAGGACCCCTGGGAGCTCAACCCGCAGTTCACAGAGGTGCCCGTCCAGGCTCTGCAGGGCCCCCAGTGGAAGCAGGTGGTCTCGGCCAGGGTTCACGTCAAGGAGCCCATCACGATTATCGAGGGGGGGGGGCTTCAAACATGACATCACGTCATATCACAAGGGCACAGGCCTCCTTTGGTCTCCGTCATCTGCGTTTCGGGGACAACCTCGGCACCGTGCTCGCGCTCGGACGTGGGCGATGCTCCTCCTATCCCCTTCTGCTGTGCTGCCGCAGAGAGGCTGCCTACTCCGTCGCCACTGCGTCGCGGTTCGAGCATCGGTGGATACCTTCGGAGCTGAACCCCTCCGATGAAGTGTCGAGGCGCTGGGATGCCAAGTCGGTATCTCGCTTGCCCCGCGCGGTGGCCGTCAAGCGCCCAGCTGCCAGCCCCAAGATGGCACAGAAGAGCTTCCTGAAGGGGAGGCCGTTCGTTGGGGCGACGAAGGAGGAGAGGATCGCTCACCGTCTGCGGGCCTCTGGGCCGTTCGCGATGGTGGGGGAGGGCGAGAGGAGCTTCCTGGAGTGGAACGCGGTGGCGCCCGAGACCCAGGCATACTACAGGGACGCCCTCGACGACTTCCAGACGTTTGTGGACCTCTTCGAGCTGCCGCTGCACACCGCTGCTCAGGTCGACCTGGCGCTGATGAACTACGCCGACTACGCCTGGAGCATCGGGCTCGAGAGAGCCGCCGTCCTGAAAACATATGCCGCGTACATCTCGGCGCACCCCGACTTTTCCCGAAGGGGGTCGCTCCGCCTGCCGCGTTTCTGTTGGGCCCTCCAGGGCTGGAAGCGCCTGGGCCCAGGCCAGACGCGCCCGCCAATGCCTTGGCAGGTGGTCGCGCTGGTCGCACTGGTGATGGCCACGCAGCTGGGGTCCCCGCACGCGGCGCTCATGGTGGTGACGATGTTCTGGGTGTACCTCAGGCCCTCCGAGGCCGTCGGCCTGCGCGAGCAGGACCTCTTCCTCCCCTCGGGCTCGTGCACGGACTACGGCTTCAACCTGCACCCCAGCGCGAGGGGCGAGTGCAGCAAGACCAGCCTGTCGGACGAGAGCTTGCTCCTCGACTCGGTCGAGGTGCCCTGGTTGGGCCCGCTGCTGGCGCGCGCGAGGTCGGGAGACCCGCAGGCGCCGCTGTTCCGTCTCACCGCCGCGCAGCTCAGCGTCCTGTGGCGCGAGGCGCTGGGGCGGGCCGAGGTGCCCACCAGGTGCGTGCCCTACCAGCTCCGCCACGGGGGCCCGTCGCACGATCGCCTCAAGAGGTATCGATCCATGGCCGAGATCAAAAGGCGCGGGCGGTGGGCCAGCGACTACATGATGAGGCGCTACGAGGCCCATGCGCTGGTGCAGCAGGAGCTCGCAGCGCTCCCGGTCGACGTCCGCCGCAGGGCCGAGGCGGCGCCCGCGAAGCTGCACGCCGAGCTCGAGAGGCTCCTGGCGCGGCCCCAGAGGCCGTGGACGGCCACGCCGTCGGCGCGGCTGCAGGCGGCGCCCGCGCCCAGCATGCGCCGCCCCGCACCTTCTGCCAGGGTGCCGCAGTCCGCGCCCGTGCCAGGCCTTTCGTCGAGCTCATGTGCGGCTCCGCCGCCTTTGCCAAGGCCGTCCACGCCGCCGGTTGGGCTTCGGAAGGCTGGGACTACGCTGATGACCCGCGAGCCGACCTTTTTGATGAATCCCTCATCGACAGTCTGGTATTGAGGATCTCACGGAAGGAGGTCGCGGGGGTGCATGTTGGCCTGGACTGCAAAACGTGGAGCCGTGCCAGGAAGAATGATGGACGGGGTCCGCCGCCACTCAGGGACGACGCAAACGTGTACGGGCTCCCTCGGCTGGCGGCGGCGGACGCTGAGAAGGTTAGGATCGCCAGTCGTCTGCTCGCTAATGTTCTGCGGCTGCTGGCTGCTGCCGTCGAGGCGGGAGTCCCTTTCTCTCTCGAGAACCCTCGCTCGTCTCGCCTCTGGCTGGTCCCGGAGCTTCTGGACAGGGCCCGCGAAGCTCACGCCGAGTGGGCTTCTGTTGATTACTGCCAGTATCAGGTCCCCTGGAAAAAGTCGACAACCTTTTTGCTTTTCAATTGGCTGCCAGCGCAGCCGCCCCTCCGCCTGTGTACAGGCTGTCAAAAAAGGTGTAGTGCCACGGGTAAGGCTCACATAACACTGAAGGGCAAGGACCCGCTCGGTGTGTTCTGGACTTCGAGAGCTTGTCCTTACCCTGCGGCGCTCTGCAAAGATCTCGCAGCGCTGGTGGTGGCCAAGGCCAAGACACTGGATGGCAGTGGGTAGGGGCTCAGAGTCTTGAATGCCGCTCGCTCAGTCTGTTCAGGTCAGCGCCCTCGTGCTGCCCTGTCACCGCCTGCCGCTCGTTCTCTTGAATTGCTTCGATGCAGCGGGGCATGCCGAAGGAAAATTGATCTTGGCACGGGTAGCAGCCTAAGCTCATGCGTTGTGCTTGCACATTAATGATCTCTTGCTGCGTTCAATGCCGTATGTCGCTACTTATGCTCAAGTTTTTTCCAGGACCCGCCTGCCGTCCCCATCTTCCACCTTCCTGGGCGTCACTTCGCCAACCCAGGGGGCTCAGAGTCTTGAGTGCCGCTCGCTCAGTCTGTTCAGGTCAGCGCCCTCGTGCTGCCCTGTCACCGCCTGCCGCTCGTTCTCTTGAATTGCTTCGAAGCAGCGGAGCATGCCGAAGAAAAATTGATCTTGGCACGGGTAGCAGCCTAAGCTCATGAATGTATTTACATCTTTGTCAAAAAATGATTGGGTGCTGGAACAGGGGCGCCGCAAAGGTCTCCTTGGTGCGACAGTATCCGAAATTCCCGGAATATCTGATGAACGCCATGAATTAGCCTTGGCAGCCAACAGTGAGACTATGATCAGTGGTATGTTGACCATTCTTTTGGATATTGGCAATAACATCAATATCATTTGATTCAAGACGGCGCAGAACTTTGAGCAGGTATCACTTTCCTACGGACGCGCTATTAAAAGGCTGAACCTCACGAAGAGGCTTTACGTGTCAGGAGTGGGACATGGCGCCGCGATTGGCGATCAATCCCTGCGCTGCAGGATCGCATGCAAAGAAAGGGGAGATTCCGCGGGGCAACCTGCTGTGCCGAGACTTGATGCGTACCCAGCAAATGTGGCTGAGGGCTCTGGAGAGAACATCCCTGCTATCTTGGGTCTGAGGAGCAGGTCCAACATGGAGACCGTCCTGATCCTTGAGCAGGGGCACGAGAATATGATCATCCCTGGAGTGAAGATGTACAAGGTTTTGCTCGGAAAGGGTGCCAGGGCACTCGACCTGATGAAGACGCCCTCCGGGCATCTGGCACTCAAAACTGACGAATGCGAGGAGGCTGCTGAGGATCAAGGGTCGATGTCCTTTACTATCACGGCCAATCCTCAGTGCGAAGAAGCTCCGTTACTCGACGAGGAAGCATCCGATCCAGAGCCGATTGCAGGGGCTTCTGCTGTGCATGATACCCACGCATACATGATGTCACAAGAGACGAAGGGCATCAGTTTCTCTATCAATGAGGAGACGTTCGCTTTCACGGTCCAGTCTTTGGTGAATAGCACCTTGAGGACATGGCATCGTAGAAATATGTCCCTTGGGACTACCTCTACCTCGGCCGACAAGGACTTCGCCCTCCGCAATTCGCAGGCGAAGATATATCAGGCCATCTGCGAGGAGGGTGCGAAGTGGACGCCTCCTGATGCACAGGCAGGGGCACCGGCGGAAGCGGATGATGCTGCTGAGAAGTTTGATATGTTTATTTCAAGCAGCAGTTCTGCAGCGCAGCACGGCGCTGGTATTTGGACGCCCCCATCACCAAACGAGTGACGGGGGCAGGCGCGCGCCGCGGCCACTCGCGCTTGCACAGACGGGCCAAACGCTCAGGTGCTGTCAGCAAGCGCGGGGAAACCTGCATTCTTTTCCCAGGCGCCGGCTGTGCGTGCCGGGGGCCGTGGCGAGCCCGGCTGCGCGGCTGCCGCGAACAGCAGTGGGCCCGGCTGTGTGGCCGCTGCAGAAAAAGAAGGGATGTCGCATCATTATCACTCTCGTGCATTCGTTATCGAGGACATACGGACAGCTTGCGCTGAACTCCGCGCCCGTGGATATATGTGCGATCGTATTACACATGCGGAGGTGATGACCTCCACTGGTGCACAGTATTTGGGTGCGCTACTCTCGGGTGATTACCAATTGTTGTGGATTGCAACACCTGCTGGCTGGTGTGTGAGGCTGCCTGGCAAGAGGGTGGGGCCGCGCTACCAGCGTAACCAACATCTGGTGTCAAAACCTCGGGCTCTACGTATGACCATGATACTTGTGGGGCCGCCAGGATATTTCTGGAGACGAGGTCCCATGCGAGATGTTATTGAAGATTTTAAGTTACAAGTCATGCGCATGCGTTTCTGCCACTTCGGCCTCAAGTACGACCGCGCGAACAAGTCGCCCAGTGGATCGTATCTGCAAGTGGCGACTACGCGCACACGCATCCCTACCAAGTTATGGCGATGCGCATGCAATATAGCAGGGAAGCCTGCAGAACCTACTGAGCATATTCCAGACTGGACAAGGTGCTCAGAAGGCTGAATGGCGGAACAAAACACTAGCGATCCTGGCCGCAAGGTTGATTAATCAAATGGATTTACATAAAACACAAGAAATCGCAAGTGCTGTACATCTGAGTATCCATACTCGTGTTGATAAAGGAGTTTGAACTTACGTTCAGTCTCCTAAGAATGGCCCTGAATGGGGCCATGTTGTGAGATGGGTGACGATGAACCTGGACGATCATCCAGGACATCAAGATCCAGGGCCAGCCGACTGGGTACAACTATAACGCACCATTACCCGATGGTGTTACCAACATCCGTACTCGACTATACTGGGAGCAGCCAGAACCAACTCTTCTGGGATATGGCAGCTCACGACCACGCTCAAGGCGAGTGGCGATCATCGATGACGATCGTCTCCCTCCCCCTTCGATTGAGCGCGGCAGCGTGCTACCCTCTACTCCCGAATTTCCGGCACTTAGCTCGCCAGAAACAGAACAACATACGGCGCTACCAACAGATGCCAGAATTAAGCAAAAAAACAGGGAGCAGACAAAGAAGCTGGCATCAAACCGCGCAAGATACCCAACGTAGTCGAAGAAGGCAACGACGACTGTGGAGACGACCTTAAAGGACTCGGGTGCAGTACATTCTACACCGACGTACCTTTGGACTCCGACACGGATAGTGACAATGAAGAGGAGACCTTCATCGCCCTACCTGCAGGGCAACCTGTTGAATCTTATGCAGATGTATTCTCCATAATCCCCACCCTGTGTTACGGACGACACAACGAGGTAGATATGCTAGAACTATGTGGGGGAATTGGAGGCATCTCCCAGCGTGCATTGAGCCGAGGTCTGCCTTCGGGGGGAAACCTCGACAAACGTGCTTTCGTTGACCTTGGAAACAAGGAGGTCCAAGATGCAATGATGCACTATTTAGACGTTTGTTTCGTCAAGGTCGTCATGCTACAGCCCAGCTGCAGAACGACTGGCTTGCCTTCCTACTTCAATGCTGTGGTTAACTACGACACCTGGCATGCACATCATAAGAAGGATTTGCCGCGCATCAAGTTCTGTGAAAAAGGTAACTGTACGTCAAAATGATCTTCGACGATTCTACCGGAGAGAACAACAAATTGTGACTTGGGTGGATCAGGTGCCACCATGGACTACGTTGGCCAACATCAAGGGCACTTGCAAGGTGAACGTGGATCAATGTACTACTGGTCTACGTGATTCCCATGGGGTACTGGTACGAAAACCGACGGAGATCATGGCCAACCATCGCCTATTACTTACTCTTTCTGAACGAAAGCGATGTAGTGGCCATCATCAACATGCGTCGGTGTGCAATAAGGAACTGTCCGTGGCTGCACAATCTACGCCAAATATGCAGTCGCTTTTTGCTGAATCTGTTCAGATCGCGCGCGATCTCTGCCAGTCAACTAGTGATCCTTTCTGTGGTTACCCATATTCGTCCACCGTGTTGGTGACCAACGCAAGGGGATGCGATTTGGGCGACCCGAGTCTTCCCCGACAACCTGATGGCTCGATTGCGAGACCACCGTCGGGAGGGCTCGGTTGTCCTGCCTGCGCGGATGACGTTGACGTACGCTCTCAATCTCATGATGGAGATCCGAGACACTGCAGATGGTACGATAAGGACGACTATCACTGGGAGTGTCCGAGCTGTGAGAAGAAGTACGGGAAGAACAAACGTGGACACGTACCAACACTTGGCAAATGTAAGTTTGCCAGGCCTTGGAAGCTTCCCGACAATCATGGACAGATTCCGCCGGTTCCCGTCGGGCCGGCAGCAGGACCTGCACTACCAGATCCTGCTGAAGCAGCAGCGCCACCACCTGAGGCACCAGCAGCACCGGCACCTACGCGACTGAGAGCACCGAGACCTCGCTTGAGAGCTGGACCTACCGCGGGTCCAAGCAGCCACGACATTACTGATTGAAGACGTGCTGCTGAGCCTGCTGCAGGGCAACCTGCCTCGAGTGGAGCTGGTAGTTCGGATGGCCATCTCCGACTACCATCCACAGGTTAGAGTCAGACGTGGTCGACAACAATGTGGAGATGCACCTCCACCACCACCAGCAGGGAACCCTGCTGCACGACCACGGCGACCAGACTGGTCTGTGTTCGATGTACAAATCAGTCTACAAAACCTGCGAACCTTGACCCCAGCGTGGTAACACGCGAGTTGCGAAAGCTGCACTTACGCTGGTTCCATGCGAAGGAGCCTAAGATGAGACTCATCTTAAGCAAAATAGGTCTTGATAGTGTTAGACTCAGCCTCATCAAGGGTGTCTGCGACACGCGCCGAGAATGCAGAGCTTGTGACAAACCTGGACACGCATTTATGCCCTCTACTGCATTACCTGGCAAATTCAATGATGAAGTGGAATGTGACTTGATGTTCTACAAGCAAGAACACAATATATTTCACATTATCGA